ATTCATAAGTAGCATTAAGAGTTCTATCTGGTACACGGTGCCAGTTATACTAGTTTTGATTCCTGCGCCTGAGTAGCCTGGCCCACTGGGATCGAGAGGAGGACGAGAATCTGCCATGTTCACTGCCAACTTTTTTTTTAATTTTGATTTCTTTTATCTGAAACAGAAAAAAATAGTTTAAATTGTTGAATAGGTACAAAACAGAGTGTTTTTTTTAAATGAAACAGTTTGCGGAAATCCGAAACCATAGAAGGTACAAGGAAACTGGAAGTCTTTTTTTGTGAAAATAATTTTGGCATAGTTAATTTTTTGGTCAAGCGTGAGTTGTACATAAAAATGAATAAAATAGATCAAAATTTTTTTTAGTGCTGGTCGATTCTGGTCAAAGCGCACGTCAAGCTTGACACTTTGTACTTGGAAGCCATCGAGGATATAATCAGAAATAGAGACGAAATGTCATTTAATTTGTTTGAAAACTATTCTGCAAAATTATTGCTGTGACAACTGCGCTCCGATTAGCCAACCCGAATTCGATAACAATTGATGGGTGTCGTCAATTGTTTCACTTCAAATCTACCAGTTTAACTTGAGCTTTGCTATAATGGACGAAAATTGAAAAAAATTAACATATTTAATATTTAATTAACAATGAAATGTAAGTCCGTTTGTTTTGTAATTAGATGTTTTGCTGTTTTTCCCACACCACCGAATGGAACAGCCCCCATTGTTAGAGATATTATCTTTATTACAATAAATACAGAATATTTTTGGTATATATGGAGACGTACACACAGGTGAGTTGTTGTATTTTGTGATTTCAGATATTTAAAAGTGATATAAGGCCCATTTACCTGATTAGTTGCCAGGGATGGATAGCCCTTACTTTGTCTCTATTTATGGTTACATACTCTATGTTTAGACCGTTGTTATCATAAACGACATAGAGTTGAATTTAAATCTTACGTGTCAAGCTTGACGTACTCTTGACCCTGTACCTATACATATTGATGACTGGTATATTGTTCTATATGGGGGAAGAACAATGTTATCAGTTATAGGTATATACTTCATACATTTATTTATTTATTGTACAGGAAAGCCAATATGATGCATACATAACAATATCAACTGTCAATTCTACATCAAGTTACAAAGTTTTAACTTATCAGCTAACACAGCAAGCTATACAGATTTATGGTGTGGATGTGAGGGGCAATGCGTACAGTTGGATAAAATCATATCTAACCAACAGAAAACAATATGTACAAATATTTGGATAACACACGTGAGCTTAAAACCATTCAATCAGATATGTTGACAGTAAACAGATCCATACCGCAGGGCAGTGTTATAGGATGTGTCCTTTTTGTCATATATATTAATGATTTGAGATCATGTATTCTTTTTGCAGATGATATTTCTTTACTTTATAGATGTCCGAATAATAACAATCTTTCAAAACTAGTCGAAACTTTTAATACTATTTCTCTGTGGCTCTCTGACCATAACTTAGAAATAAATAATAAAAAAACTAAATTAATTCAATTCAAAGCGTAACAAAAGGAAAAAAATAGATTTAGAATCAATAACAACTAATTTACATATTGAGGAAGTAGAACATTTCACATTATTAGGATTGACAATAGATACTTATCTAAACTGGAAAAACATATTGAAAATATAAAGACCAAATTATCACAGTTTATCTATGCACTATCTGTATTAAAATGTAATGCATAAGTAGAGTGTGCCCAGACAGCCTATTATGCCTATGGGTTTGCTTGGCTCCGGTACGGTATTTTGGTATGGGGCCACAATACTGACACCGACAAGACATCTTTTTATTATACAAAAAAAGTGTATTCATGTAATATCCGACCCAGAAATAGTTGCAAACCAATTTTTATAAGAACAGACAAACAAGTATTGTGAGTAGTGGCAAACAACACACCTACAGTAGGGGTAGTTACAGTGTCCCTGCAGCATTTTCATTAGATGTACACCTATGTGAGAAGTTTTATTAAAATCGGAAAATGGGTTATATTCAATAAACTGGATTCTTGCCCTTATTTGCCACCCTTAGAAGTAAAATATTTTTTTTCAAATGGGGCCATTACCATAGTAACTATGCCACTGCTAACTTACCCCTCTTTCCAACAAAAAAGAATCATCGAAATATGTTCACAAACGTCGGAGAATTCACGTGACGTACACATAAAAAAATACAGTCAAATTGAGGACCTACTCCTTTTTTGAAGTCGGTCAAAACAAGCATGCACGCAAAAAATTTCACAATATTTTTAGATAAGAGAAATAACACTATTGTTTACCTTTCTAGTGCTGCTTGCCGGTTTTTCTGCACATTCTTAGGTCCCATCAACGGCTAGGAAAGACCTAAAAATAAAAAAAGAATATATGTCCATTCATAGCAGGAGGCCACTACACATTTTCACAATTCGTATTGGTTTACAACAAGTGAAAATACCTTTAGCTTGACCTTGAAGACAACATATTAACGGATGGAGCGTATTATCGAATTACAAGTGGTGATAAAATAATCAAGATAACATACATTTTATTTTACGAATCTCAGACAGAGAAACAAGTGGGGAGGAAAAGATCCCCCACCACGATAACTTTGCCGCGAAAAGGAAAATGATGAATGACTAATTATGACTTTTTCATAAGTGTGACCAATTTTAAATTGGTGATCTTGCTAACTGCATTGCTTAAAATCTTTTTTAAATTCGTAATAATTGTGCCAACGAGTTAACTCCTCCTATGAATGAAGTAGGTACCAAATAAAAACTGGGTTGGTTGATTGTATTTATTTATTTTTAATTTTTTTATTTAAATACACCATCACATACATAAAGAAACTTCACTGCTATAACATTATTTTTGTTATACAGTATGTTGTACCATTACAGGCTTAAACAGCATTTACGAAAAAAAACCTTAACTTAAAAAGAAAATAGAAACAAAAACACTGTATAGAAAAAAAAAGAACAAATATCTAAAAACTTAGAATAATAACGCATAGAAACCTAGTCCGGACACGCTAAGTGAGGCAAATTGTAGCGCTCCCAATGGGCCTACACGAGCGGGTGGGCCGTCAGTGCTCAAGGTCAACTTGCACCGCGAACAGCTCAAGAATTTTGGCTAAAAATGACGAAATGTGCGGTAAATGAGTGTAAAAATACGTCAGACAAACATAAAGTAGATACTAACATCACATTCTAAACGGCAGTAGCGCGTTTGTATTTGTATGTAAATATTCACTAAAACAGAAAATTACTTTGGTTGCAACAAGACACGAAAATGTTGCAAAATGACGGATTTTTTTCTCGCCATTTGCTGTTATGTTTCAAAATAATTATATTACGTAATTTTTTGAGAATAGACAATATCGCGATGGTTGCAGAATTTCTACAACATTATAGGGAATTTACGTTAGCTATTTTTACGAAATATATTTATGATTTTTCACATGAAACTAATGAAGGCAAATACTAATTTGCCTTCATTAGTTTCATGTGAAAAATCATTATTCTTGTTCATCATACACTCATTTAAAAAAAAATGTCTTGGCCAGACTCAAAATATCATAAAGTGCCTACAGATACGATCAATATTGTCGATGGACAATGTCGATGCGGTGCTTACAGATATGCTCGACATTGTCAATCGACAACGAAAATTATAGACGTTTTCGAGTTGTTTGGGAAAGCATAGTGAGAATGTGGCATTAATTTCTAAATCCAAGATGGTTGCCAAGAACTTAAAAAAATATATTTATTGGTAATCCTTATGGAAATGGCATTTATATCTGAATACATGATGGCGGACACGACTTTTCGCATTTCTAAATGTAAGATGGCGGGCGCGATTTTTCGAATAATGGCGAGTTGGGTATCGTTTACGAAGTATTTGGGGATGCTCATTACGAATATAGCATTTTTTTTTCTAAATCCAAGATGGCGGACACGATTTTTCAAAAAATGTAATATGGGTATCCTTTTCGAAGTATTTGGGGTTGCTCTTTCTAAATCCAAGATGGCGGACACGATTTTTAAAATAATGACAAGTTGGGTATCGTTTCGAAAAGGATACCCATATTACATTTTTTTGAAAAATCGTGTTCACCATCTTGGATTTAGAAATAAATGCTATATTCGTAATGAACACCCCCAAATACCTTAAAAACGATATCCAACTTGCCGTTATTCGAAGAATCGTGCCCGCCATCTTCGATTTAAAAATAAATGCCATATTCGTAATGAGCACCTCGAGTATCTCGAAAACGATTCCCATATTGCATTTCTTTGAAAAGAAGTGTCCGCCATCTTGGGTTTAGAAATGAGAAAAGTCGTGTCCGCCTTCGTGTATTCAGATAGAAATGCCATTTCCATAAGGATTACCAAAAATTAAGTTTTGAAAATTCTTGTCACTTGCCATTGTCGATCGACAGTAACGATCGACAAAGTCGAGCGTATCTGTAGGCACCTTTAATGATGAGTTAAGCAAGATACAATTTCCCCACTTTTGAAGGAAATGTTATTCCATGGCATCATTATTTGTATATTTGTGTGCGTGCTGACGAGCGTCAATACAAGTTGCTTACGCAAACATGAATTTGATTTTTGCCTCACTTGTGACAGTTCATTTGGATATGAAACTATCATTCTATGCGTTATTATTCTAAGCTAAAAAATTATTAAACAACAAAACAAAACCCCTGAGACGTGGCGTCTTAGGAGTTTAAAGCAGTTGTGACGTTCCGTTTGAACTTATATAATGAGTCGTGAAAGATGTCAACCTCGTCTGTATTAATGTTATTGAAAGTTCTCATGCTACGGTAAATTGGAGAAAAATGGCCCAAATTGGTACGAGATACAAGAACCGATAATGTATTTCGCACTGGATAACGTGGAAGCCTTCTGGGTATCGCCAAGTTAACTTGAGACATTATTCGGGGCGTGTCAAGCTGGCTACATAAAACCTTATAGAGGAAAGTTAGGTCGAAAACTTATCTCCGAGTCTTTGTCTCTAACTTGAAATATAACAGACGCTCGCCATAGTCTGCTCTATACTATTTTTATATGCTAGAAAGCGAGTAAATGCGCGTTGTACGCGTTCTATCCTATCTACATGGGTTTGATAGTGGGGATTCCATATAGGTGTCGCATATTCAAGAGTACACCGAATTAACGAGTTGTACAATGCTAAAATTGCGTGTACGTTTCTAAAATTTTTACAAGTACGCTTCACAAACCCTAACATTTTCCATGACTTCTTGACTATACTATTTATGTGGGCACTAAAACTTAATTTGTTGTCTATCAGAACACCCAAATCTCGCACATCAGTCGATTCGCTGAGGGCTTTATTATCCAATTGAGAGGAAACAGTATTGATTTTTTTTTGTAAACTTAATATGAGTACATTTGGTTACGTTTAATAACATTTTATTGTGCTTGCACCATCGCGCCACAGCCGTCAAATCAGCCTGCAGAAATTTAACGTTTAACTCTTTTTATTTTTGCGTAGCATCATTTTTTCCTTAATATATTTTTGAAAGCATAAATTTATTTCTAATTCTGCACCTCTACTGCCTCTTTGACTTGTAGAATTCCAGAAAAATGGATTTTAAAATTTGTTTCAAAAACAGAAAAAAGCAAGAACTTTACGACAGGGGTTGGAACAAGACTAATGGATTTCGCTTCTCGAGAAATTTATTTTCATTATGACAGCTTTAAAGCAGCGCAATCATATTTTATCTTACTTGCGACAAAATCTGCTACGTTCTAAATTAAGACCTTATTCTGCCAAAATCGCAGGATTCTACTAAATCTTGGCGCACTGATTTTCAGAGACAAGTTCTCTACAGACAGGACTTCCGTCATTGGACTGTCATTTGAAGAAGAAGACAATAAGTGCCTTAGCCTTAATTCGCTCTGGACCTTTTGGAGGGAAAAGTGTCGTTTTTATTTTGACTTTCAATTATTTTGTGAAATCTAGTTTAAAGTGAAATAGGATAGTGCTATTGTGCCTTAATCGAAAATTAAAACGCGAAATTATACGAATACCGAACACCGAACTAAAATACCCGTATCGGCCCGTTTTAAGGAATCCCGAGTCAATCCAAGCGCGCCGCCTCAAATTGCCTATCCTCTTTGTGGCGGCCATATGTACAAAAACAATTAAACTTCATGTTTAGGCTGATGGCTTTGCCAAAGCCTTAATAAATTAAAAAAAAAAAGAAGAAGACAAACAAGAAGTGCCTTACTCAGTTAAAAAAAAGATAAGTTTTTAGTGCTGTATTGCCATAACATAAAGGGTAGGCGTTACCACTTCTTCGTAAAGTTTTCAATCGACTCAATCGTTTATACGTATTTTTTAACTAATGTAGATAGGAAGCGTATACCTTTAATTCGTGAAAGTAGCAAATAGGTAGCAATTATCACATACTTCGGGAAAATCTGCTCCCTTCATGCTGAACAAAGTGGCGACCAGCCATGATATCAAAATGGTTGGTCAATTATTTTTTTAATTTCTTAGAATATATCAAAGGTAGCAATTATTGAATATACACTCAGTGCCAGACGCCACAGGCGACCAGCCATCTGAGAAACATGCCTCTAGTGTAAAATATTATTACTTTATTTATAACATTAGTATTAATCTATTACAACCGATAGTAAATTGTTTCGGTATTCGTATTACAATTATTTGCTCTATGTCATAGTTAGTTATATATGTATAGTTTAAATGTGCGTGTTGTGAATTGCATTAGGTCCTACATTTAAGTTTGGTTTATGTTTTTGTACGCGTGTTTTATACTATATCTGCTTGTCCACAACAGCTGGGACAAGCTGAAAATCAGTGCTGTGTAGGAGCATAATGCTTTACACAATCTGTGCTGCGCTTGCTCCCCTGCCACACAATAATTGCAATTGTTAAGGTTATAGTGTTATAATTTTTATATCATTGAATAAGTTACGTTTCATATTTTGTATGGTGAATAAATGGTTTGAATATAAGAGATATCAAAAAGCTTTTAACTGATATAGAAAGTATGTATGTTGCCTAATGAGTAAATCGACATCAATAACTTTTTTTAGAACTAGAAACATACAAACTTTTAACATTAAACGCTTCCCTACATTTAATATGACATTCGTAGAGAGGCTTTAGTTTCCCTATTGTAAGAGGTACTTAACAATAAGTTAACAGATAACAAAACTGATATGAATAAAGTAATAAAACTATCTTTTAATGGAATAAAAACATGATGGCGTAGTTATTTATTTCATCAAGTGTGAGTTGTCCATAAAAATGAATAAAAATGATCAATTTTGTGCTGATCGACCACAGATCTAGTGATCGACTCAGTTTCGTGTAAGAATCATTTCACTGTATGTGACGTGAAAAATCGGGACAACAAAAGTTGATCAAATTTAATAGAATTTAATGTAGAAGATAAACTGTCTTTTTAGAAGATACCTTTTAAAAAAAGTATGTTTAGGAAGAAATTAGGTAGTAAATAGTTATATAAAGAAAGTAAATTATATACTGCTTGAACCATGAAAAACGTGAAGTGGTCCAGCTAA